TGGATACTCAGTTTTCTGTGAAATAGGACTCAGCGAGTAACGGTCAACCATATAAAATCTAGTCCAAGTGCAGTTAAAAGCTCTGTACCTCAGGGTACAGTCTTTGCACCGCTGCTTTTCCTTATTCTCATATCAGATATAGACAAAAATACAAGTCACAGCTTCGTATCATCCTTTGCAGATGACACAAAAATCAGTATGAAAATTACCTCGGCTGAAGACAATGAAAAACTTCAAGCTAATATTAATAAAGTTTTTGACTGGGCATCAGAAAATTACATGATGTTTAACAGTGATAAATTCCAGGTACTCAGGTACGGTAAAAATGAGGACCTTAAACATAATACAGAGTACAAAACACAATCAAATGTACCCATAGTAGGAAAACAGCATGTAAAGGATTTGGGAATAATAATGTCTGACGACCTAACGTTTAAGGAGCATAACCAAGCAAATATTGCGACAGCCAGAAAAATGATAGGATGGATTACGAGAACTTTCAAAACCAGGGATCCCATCACAATGGTTGTACTCTTCAAGTCACTTGTGTTGTCCCGTCTTGAGTACTGCTCAGTACTCACTTCCCCCTTCAGAGCAGGAGAGATTGCTGAAATAGAGGGAATACAGAGAACATATACGGCACGCATAGACGAGATAAAGCACCTAAATTATTGGGATCGTCTCAAAGCCCTCCAAATGTACTCACTAGAAAGAAGACGAGAGAGATATCAAATAATATACACCTGGAAGATACTGGAGGGCCAAGTACCAAATCTACACAGTAAAATAACAACATACTGGATTGAACGATATGGAAGAAAATGCAGAATAGAACCAGTGTAGACCAGAGGTGCCATAGGCACAATCAGAGAACACTGTATAAACATCAGAGGTCCGCGGTTGTTCAACGTCCTCCCAGCAAGCATAAGAAATATTGCCGGAACAACCGCGGACATCTTCAAGAGGAAACTATATTTATTCCTCCAAGGAGTGCCGGACCAACCAGGCTGTGGTGGGTATGTGGGCCTGCGGGCCGCTCCCAGCAACAGCCTGGTGGACCAAACTCTCACAAGTCAAGCCCCGAGGCCTTGGGCCGGGCTTGGGCAGTAGAAGAACTCCCAGAACCCCATCAACCAGGTATCAACCAGGGCCTTGCAGTACTAGTATCCCAGGGGCCTCGCAATACCAGTAGCCCAGGGGCCTCACAGTACCAGTAGCCCAGGGGCCTCCCAGTACCAGTATCCCAGGGGCCTCACAGTACCAGTAGCCCAGGGGCCTCCCAGTACCAGTATCCCAGGGATCTCACAGTACCAGTAGCCTAGGGGCCTCGCAGCACCAGTATCCCAGGGGCCTCACAGTTCCTGTATCCCAGGGGCCTCACAGTACCAGTAGCCCAGGGGCCTCACAGTACCAGTAACCCAGGGGCATCAGAGTACCAGTAGCCCAGGGGCCTCCCAATACCTGTAGCCCAGGAGCCTCACAGTACCAGTAGCCCGAAATCCTCACAGTACCAGTAGCCCAGGGCCCTCACAGTACCTGTAGCCCACAAGCCTCACAGTACCAGTAGCACAAGGCCCCTCACAGTACCAGTGACAAGGGGCCTCACAGTACCAGGAGCCCAGGGGCCTCACAGTACCAGTAACCCAGGGGCCTCACAGTGCCAGGAGCCCAGGGGCCTCACAGTACCAGTAGCCCAGCGGCCTCACAGTACCAGTAGCCCGGGGGCCTCACAGTACCAGTAGCCGAGGGGCCCTCACAGCACTAGTAGCCCAGGGGCCTCACAGTACCAGTAGCCCAGGGGCCTCACAGTATCAGTAACCCAGGGGCCTCACAGTACCAGTGACAAGGGGCCTCACAGTACCAGGCTCCTCACAGTACCAGTAGCCCAGGGGCCTCACAGTACCAGTAGCCCAAGGGCCTCACAGTACTAGTAGCCCAGGGGCCTTTCAGTACCAGGAGCCCAGTGGCCTCACAGTACCTGTAGCCCAGGGGGCTCACAGTACCAGTAGCCCAGGAGCCTCATAGTACCAGTAGCCCAGGGGTCTCACAGTATCAGTAGCCCAGGGGCCTCACAGTACCATTAGCCCAGGAGCCTCACAGTACCTGTAGCCCAGGAGCCTCTCAGTACCAGTAGCCCAGGTGCCTCACAGTACCAGTAGCCTAGAGGCTTCACAGTACCAGTAGCCCAGGGGCCTCACAGTACCAGTAGCTTAGGGGCCTCACAGTACCAGTAGCCCAGAAGCCTCACAGAACCAGTAGCTCAGGGGCCTCTCAGTACCAGTTGCCCAGGGGCCTTCAGTACCAGTAGCCCAGGGGCATCAGAGTACTAGTTGCCCAGGGGCCTCACAATACCAGTAGCCCAGGGGCCTCACAATACCAGTTGCCCAGGGGCCTCACAGTACCAGTAGCCCAGGGGCTTTACAGTACCAGTAGCCCAGGAGCCTCACAATACCAGTAGCCCAGGGGCCTCACAGTACCAGTTGCCCAGGGGCCTCACAATACCAGTTGCCCAGGAGCCTCTCAGTACCAGTAGCCCAGGGGCTTCACAGTACCAGTAGCTCAGGGACCTCACTGTACCAGTAACCCAGGGGACTCACAGTACATGTTGCCCAGCGGCCTCATAGTACCAGTAGCCCAGGGGCATCAGAGTACTAGTTGCCTAGGGGCATCACAGTACCAGTAGCCTAGGGGCCTCACAATACCAGGAGCCCAGGGGCCTCACAGTACCTGTAGCCCACAGGCCTCACAATACCAGTAGCTCAGGGGCCTCACAGTACCAGTAGCCCCAGGGGCTTCACAGTACCAGTAGCTCAGGGACCTCACTGTACCAGTAACCCAGGGGACTCACAGCACATGTAGCCCAGGGGCCTCACAGTACCTGTAGCCCAGGGGCCTCATTGTACCAGTATCCCAGGGGCTTCATAGTACCAGTAGCCCAGGGGCTTCACAATACCTGTAGCCCAGGAGCCTCTCAGTACCAGTAGCCAAGGGGCCTCACAGTACCAGTAGCTCAGGGGCTTCTCAGTACCAGTAGCCCAGGGACCTCAAGTACTAGTAGCGCAGGGCCCCTCACAGTACCAGTAGCCCAGGGGGGCCTCATAGTACCAGTAGCCCAGGAGCCTCACAGTACCAGTAGCCCAGGAGCCTCACAGTACTAATAGCCCAGGATCCTCACAGTACCTGTAGCCCAGGATCCTCACAGTACCTGTAGCCCAGGGGCCTCACAGTACCTGTAGCGCAGGGCCCTCACAGTACCAGTAGCCCAGAAGCCTCACAGTACCAGTAGCCCTCATAGTACCTGTAGCTCAGGGGCCCTCACAGTACCTGTAGCCAAGGAGCCTCACAGTACCTGTAGTCCAGGAGCCTCACAGTACCTGTAGCCCAGGGGCCTCACAGTACCAGTAGCCCTCACAGTACCTGTAGCCCAGGGGCCTGAGAGTACCAGTAGCCCAGGAGCCTCACAGTACCTGTAGCCCAGAGCCCTCACAGTACCTGTAGCCCAGGAGCCTCACAGTACCTGTAGCCCAGGAGCCTCACAGTACCAGAAGCTCAGGAGCCTCTCAGTACCTGTAGCCCAGGGGTCTACTAGTACCAGTAGCCCAGGAGCCTCACAGTACCAGTAGCCCAGGGGTCTACCAGTACCAGTAGCCCAGGAGCCTCTCAGTACCAGTAGCCCAGGAGCCTCACAGTACAAGTAGCCCAGGAGCCTCACAGTACCAGTAGCTCAGGAGCCTCTCAGTACCTGTAGCCCAGGGGTCTACCAGTACCAGTAGCCCAGGAGCCTCTCAGTACCAGTAGCCCAGGGGTCTACCAGTACCAGTAGCCCAGGAGCCTCTCAGTACCAGTAGCTCAGGGGTCTACACAATCTTAATCCTGCCCTGGTCAGGGCCGTATTAAGATTGTTATATCCGGCCGGATATAACCCCATCTAAGTCGGGTTATAAGCCCATGGAACCGCTTACCCGCCGAAGCGGTAAATATTCCGGCAAGACCACTTAAGAGATGGCGGCGCTCAGGCGTCTAACTGAGACCTCCCTCACAACACACCATAGAAAACGTTTCCGCTACAACGACACGAGTGAGGACTCGACGCTCTCAGGTCAACATTCACTGCGGCTTAGCGCTAGCCTTCATACTCACCTAAGTGTGCTTGCGGGCGTTGAGCTTTGGCTCTTGGTCCCGCCTCTCAACCGTCAATCAACTGATGTGCAGATTTCTGAGCCTATTGGGCTCTATCATAGCTCAGCCCGGCCTCCAAAAATGGGGTGGTAAATGTAAGAAGACAAATAGGTGCAATTATGTACTATTCATAGCAGTTGGGAATTGTACTTATTTTCACTTAGTATTAAATCGTACTGTCAAATATATTGTGAATATTTGAGTTTACCTGAAAAACTGAATAGAAAACCACGACCTCACCTAACCCTCTTAGTTTCTGAAGATAATAATTTTATAGGTTTTTAATTACAATTTGTATTTAACCTTTCGCTATATTGATATTACAGTTTTATAAAACTAATAAAACAAAACTAAAATATATCAATAAATTGTAAAGTCACTCTGGGTACTTTCATTACCTTACATTTACTTGGGTTGAACTTTAGTAGCCATTTGTTGGACCATCCCCTCAGTCTGTCTAGGTCATCTTGTAGCCTCATACTATCCTCCTCTGTCTTGATCCTCCTCATAATTTTTGCATCATCAGCAAACATCGAGAGGTAAGAGTCAATTACTTCATTTACGTATATCAGAAACAATATAGGTCCAAGGACTGGTCCCATTGGGACTCCACTGGTGACTCTCCGCCACTCCGAGACCTCACCCCTCACAGTGACTCGCTGTGTCCTGTTGCTTAGGTACTCTCTTATCCAATGGAGTACCTTCCCTTTCACTCGTGCCTGCATCTCCAGTTTGTGCACTAGCCTCTTGTGTGGTACTGTGGCAAAAGCTTTCTGGCAATCCAGAAATATGCAGTCTCCCCAGCCCTCTCTCTCTCTTGCCTGTGAGGCTGGGCCTGGAGGTCTGAGGGACGGCAGCGTGGGGCTGGAGGTCTGGGAGACGGCAGCGTGAGGCTGGGGCTGGAGGTCTGAGGGAAGGCAGCGTGGGGCTGGGGCTGGAGGTCTGAGAGACGGCAGCGTGAGGCTGGGGCTGGAGGTCTGAGAGACGGCAGCGTGAGGCTGGGGCTGGAGGTCTGGGAGACGGCAGCGTGGGGCTGGAGGTCTGGGAGACGGCAGCGTGAGGCTGGGGCTGGAGGTCTGAGAGACGGCAGCGTGAGGCTGGGGCTGGAGGTCTGGGAGACGGCAGCGTGAGGCTGGGGCTGGAGGTCTGAGGGAAGGCAGCGTGGGGCTGGGGCTGGAGGTCTGGGGGAAGGCAGCGTGGGGCTGGGGCTGGAGGTCTGGGAGACAGCAGCGTGAGGCTGGGGCTGGAGGTCTGAGAGACGGCAGCGTGAGGCTGGGGCTGGAGGTCTGAGGGACGGCAGCGTGGGGCTGGAGGTCTGAGGGACGGCCGCGTGGGGCTGGAGGTCTGGGAGACGGCAGCATGGGGCTGGGGCTGGAGGTCTGGGAGACGGCAGCGTGGGGCTGGGTCTGGAGGTCTGGGAGACGGCCGCGTGGGGCTGGGGCTGGAGGTCTTGGAGACGGCCGCGTGGGGCTGGGGCTGGAGGTCTGGGAGACGGCCGCGTGGGGCTGGGGCTGGAGGTCTGAGAGACGGCAGCGTGGGGCTGGGGCTGGAGGTCTGAGAGACGGCAGCGTGGGGCTGGGGCTGGAGGTCTGAGGGAAGGCAGCGTGGGGCTGGGGCTGGAGGTCTGAGAGACGGCAGCGTGGGGCTGGGGCTGGAGGTCTGGGAGACGGCAGCGTGGGGCTGGGTCTGGAGGTCTGGGAGACGGCCGCGTGGGGCTGGGGCTGGAGGTCTGGGAGACGGCAGCGTGAGGCTGGGGCTGGAGGTCTGAGAGACGGCAGCGTGAGGCTGGGGCTGGAGGTCTGAGAGACGGCAGCGTGGGGCAGGGGCTGGAGGTCTGAGAGACTGCAGCGTGAGGCTGGGGCTGGAGGTCTGAGAGACGGCAGCGTGGGGCTGGGGCTGGAGGTCTGAGAGACGGCAGCGTGGGGCTGGGGCTGGAGGTCTGGGGGAAGGCAGCGTGAGGCTGGGGCTGGAGGTCTGGGAGACGGCAGCGTGGGGCTGGGGCTGGAGGTCTGGGAGACGGCAGCGTGGGGCTGGGGCTGGAGGTCTGAGAGACGGCAGCGTGAGGCTGGGGCTGGAGGTCTGGGAGACGGCAGCGTGGGGCTGAGGCTGGAGGTCTGGGAGACGGCAGCGTGAGGCTGGGGCTGGAGGTCTGAGGGACGGCAGCGTGGGGCTAGAGGTCTGGGAGACGGCCGCGTGGGGCTGGGGCTGGAGGTCTGAGAGACGGCAGCGTGAGGCTGGGGCTGGAGGTCTGGGAGACGGCAGCGTGGGGCTGAGGCTGGAGGTCTGGGAGACGGCAGCGTGAGGCTGGGGCTGGAGGTCTGAGGGACGGCAGCGTGGGGCTGGAGGTCTGGGAGACGGCCGCGTGGGGCTGGGGCTGGAGGTCTGAGAGACGGCAGCGTGAGGCTGGGGTTGGAGGTCTGAGAGACGGCAGCGTGAGGCTGGGGCTGGAGGTCTGAGGGACGGCAGCGTGGGGCAGGGGCTGGAGGTCTGAGAGACGGCAGCGTGAGGCTGGGGCTGGAGGTCTGAGAGACGGCAGCGTGAGGCTGGGGCTGGAGGTCTGGGAGACGGCCGCGTGGGGCTGGGGCTGGAGGTCTGAGAGACGGCAGCGTGAGGCTGGGGCTGGAGGTCTGAGAGACGGCAGCGTGAGGCTGGGGCTGGAGGTCTGGGAGACGGCAGCGTGGGGCTGGGGCTGGAGGTCTGGGGGAAGGCAGCGTGAGGCTGGGGCTGGAGGTCTGGGAGACGGCAGCGTGGGGCTGGGGCTGGAGGTCTGAGAGAAGGCAGCGTGGGGCTGGGGCTGGAGGTCTGGGAGACGGCAGCGTGGGGCTGGGGCTGGAGGTCTGAGAGACGGCAGCGTGAGGCTGGGGCTGGAGGTCTGGGGGACGGCAGCGTGGGGCTGGGGCTGGAGGTCTGAGAGACGGCAGCGTGGGGCTGGGGCTGGTGGTCTGAGAGACGGCAGCGTGATGCAGGGGCTGGAGGTCTGAGGGAAGGCAGCGTGGGGCTGGGGCTGGAGGTCTGGGGGAAGGCAGCGTGGGGCTGGGGCTGGAGGTCTGAGAGACGGCAGCGTGGGGCTGGGGCTGGAGGTCTGGTGGAAGGCAGCGTGTGGCTGGGGCTGGAGGTCTGAGAGACGGCAGCGTGAGGCTGGGGCTGGAGGTCTGGGAGACGGCAGCGTGAGGCTGGGGCTGGAGGTCTGAGAGACGGCAGCGTGAGGCTGGGGCTGGAGGTCTGGGAGACGGCAGCGTGAGGCTGGGGCTGGAGGTCTGAGAGACGGCAGCGTGAGGCTGGGGCTGGAGGTCTGGGGGAAGGCAGTGTGGGGCTGGGGCTGGAGGTCTGAGAGACGGCAGCGTGGGGCTGGGGCTGGAGGTCTGGGGGAAGGCAACATGGGGCTGGGGCTGGAGGTCTGAGGGAAGGCAGCGTGGGGCTGGGGCTGGAGGTCTGGGGGGACGGCAGCGTGGGGCTGGGGCTGGAGGTCTGAGGGAAGGCAGCGTGGGGCTGGGGCTGGAGGTCTGGGGGAAGGCAGCGTGGGGCTGGGGCTGGAGGTCTGAGGGAAGGCAGCGTGGGGCTGGGGCTGGAGGTCTGGGGGGACGGCAGCGTGGGGCTGGGGCTGGAGGTCTGAGGGAAGGCAGCGTGGGGCTGGGGCTGGAGGTCTGGGGGGACGGCAGCGTGGGGCTGGGGCTGGAGGTCTGAGGGAAGGCAGCGTGGGGCTGGGGCTGGAGGTCTGGGGGGACGGCAGCGTGAGGCTGGGGCTGGAGGTCTGAGGGACGGCAGCGTGGGGCTGGGGCTGGAGGTCTGAGAGACGGTAGCGTGAGGCTGGGGCTGGAGGTCTGAGAGACGGCAGCGTGGGGCTGGGGCTGGAGGTCTGAGGGAAGGCAGCGTGGGGCTGGGGCTGGAGGTCTGGGGGAAGGCAGCGTGGGGCTGGGGCTGGAGGTCTGGGGGACGGCAGCGTGGGGCTGGGGCTGTAGGTCTGGGAGATGGCAGCGTGAGGCTGGGGCTGGAGGTCTGGGAGATGGCAGCGTGGGGCTGGGGCTGGAGGTCTGAGGGAAGGCAGCGTGAGGCTGGAGGTCTGAGGGAAGGCAGCGTGGGGCTGGGGCTGGAGGTCTGAGGGAAGGCAGCGTGAGGCTGGAGGTCTGGGGGAAGGCAGCGTGGGGCTGGGGCTGGAGGTCTGGTGGAAGGCAGCGTGGGGCTGGGGCTGGAGGTCTGAGGGAAGGCAGCGTGAGGCTGGAGGTCTGGGGGAAGGCAGCGTGGGGCTGGGGCTGGAGGTCTGAGGGAAGGCAGCGTGAGGCTGGAGGTCTGGTGGAAGGCAGCGTGGGGCTGGGGCTGGAGGTCTGGTGGAAGGCAGCGTGAGGCTGGGGCTGGAGGTCTGAGGGAAGGCAGCGTGAGGCTGGAGGTCTGGAGGAAGGCAGCGTGAGGCTGGGGCTGGAGGTCTGGTGGAAGGCAGCGTGAGGCTGGAGGTCTGGTGGAAGGCAGCGTGAGGCTGGGGCTGGAGGTCTGAGGGAAGGCAGCGTGAGGCTGGAGGTCTGGTGGAAGGCAGCGTGAGGCTGGGGCTGGAGGTCTGGTGGAAGGCAGCGTGAGGCTGGGGCTGGAGGTCTGGTGGAAGGCAGCGTGAGGCTGGGGCTGGAGGTCTGGTGGAAGGCAGCGTGAGGCTGGGGCTGGAGGTCTGAGGGAAGGCAGCGTGAGGCTGGGGCTGGAGGTCTGAGGGAAGGCAGCGTGAGGCTGGGGCTGGAGGTCTGGGGGAAGGCAGCGTGGGGCTGGGGCTGGAGGCAGCACCTTGACAGGTCTAGAGGTCAAACGTGACCTCAAGGAAGGTTGGCCTCGGAGGTAGAGGTCAAGAGTTGACCGAGGCTGTGAGGACGGAGAAGGGGCCGCCTTAATGACCCATGTCAACCCACCTCGTCCTCCTTAGGGTCCCCAACGTCAACAAAGCGTCGTACTAAAGTGCCCCCTTATCCTAACATGCCAGAGGACCCAAAACAGAAAACGGGACAGTACGTCACTTCCGCCAACCGCTTCCGTTTTCTAGTACGACAATTTTTGGCCTTATGTAACTCATACGTTCAAAATGCGACGTTCTTTGTAGAAGAAGTTGGTCAACATGTATGGCTCTCTTATTGAGAGTCATGCATGTTGAACTCTCTCTTGTACCACATATTGGGGAGCCGGTGGCTGAGCGGACAGAACACTGGACGCGTGATCCTGTGGTCCCGGGTTCGATCCCGGGCGCCGGCGAGAAATATTGGGCAGAGTTTGTTTCACCCTGATGCCCTTGTTACCTAGCAGTAAATAGGTACCTGGGAGTTAGTCAGCTGTCACTGGCTACTTCCTGGGGGTGGAGGCCTGGTCGAGGACCGGGCCGCGGGGACACTAAGCCCCGAAATCATCAGAAGATAAGCTCTTCCTGTTATTTACACGGCTGGGAAGAAAAGGCTGGCAGGAATGAGCAGGAAAGGTTAGGTTAGATAAGAGAGAACAATAAGAGCATTGAATAAATCCACAAGGGCCGTGACGAGGATTCGAACCTGCGTCCGAGAGCATCCCAGACGCTGACTTAATCGACTGAGCTACGACATGGTCAAAAGGAGTTGAAACCGAAGTTCTACTGAACTTACAGGTTCGAATCCTCGTCACGACGCTTGTGGATTTGTTCATTTGATGCATCACACAATTGTGATCTCTGTGTGTAATAGGAGGATTCCTGAGGTGTTTGAGCAGCAAGTGCTTGCGTCAACAGTGTGGCGGGTCAGCCGGTGACCTGGTGTGACCCCGGCGCCGCTCGGCACGTCAACTGCCTTGACACAACCAACCAAATTGCGTTTTTGCATATTGACAGGTATTTGTTACGTATTTTCTCGTTTAGTTCGTTTGGCGTAGAAAAAATCTGGCCATTTTTATTCCCCGGGTGGAGGTAGTGAGGAGATGTAGCCATCACCTGCGTGTGGGTCTGTAATCCCAAGCTCCCAACACTGGCCACATTCACCAAGTAGTTACGCAAGTACTTACGAACGTGTACATCTTTACTCAATATTTCACGGCTTGGGTTACATTTATTAAACAGTTTACAACTGTGAAAACTTGCCAATGAACTGTTGTTATTGTTATAAACAGCCTCCTGGTGCTTCGGGGCTCATTAACTGTTTAATAATTGTAAACAAAGCCGCCAAAGATTGAGAAAAGATGGACAGGTTCGTAAGTGCTTGCGTAACTGCTTCGTGATCTTCAGCATGCTTCTTGTAGTCACTAATAATATAGAATGTAATTTAATATTATAAAACAAAAATTATATAATTAAAATGTAATGCAAGATAGTAAAAGAGGCTTAGTGAGTGTCATTCCTGCCTATATATCAGATAACCAGGACTATAGTTCAATAGGACTGTTATGGACGCTCCTGTGCACATCATGAACGGTGGGAATTGTTCTTGTACATCCTGGCTTTTGAAGCAGGTGTACTGAGGAGTGTTGAATGAGAGTATAAATGATTGTATAAATTTTTATGTCGTGGACATGTTCACACAGTGTGACTGACTGTGGTGTGTTGGAGACTGGTAGAGCCAGGGGGGGCTACCAGGGCTGACTGTGGTGTGTTGGAGACTGGTAGAGCCAGGGGGGGGGGCTACCAGGGCTGACTGTGGTGTGTTGGAGACTGGTAGAGCCAGGGGGGGGCTACCAGGGCTGACTGTGGTGTGCTGGAGACTGGTAGAGCCAGGGGGGGGGCTACCAGGGCTGACTGTGGTGTGTTGGAGACTGGTAGAGCCAGGGGGGGGCTACCAGGGCTGACTGTGGTGTGTTGGAGACTGGTAGAGCCAGGGGGGGGCTACCAGGGCTGACTGTGGTGTGTTGGAGACTGGTAGAGCCAGGGGGGCTACCAGGGCTGACTGTGGTGTGTTGGAGACTGGTAGAGCCAGGGGGGGGGGCTACCAGGGCTGACTGTGGTGTGCTGGAGACTGGTAGAGCCAGGGGGGGCTACCAGGGCTGACTGTGGTGTGTTGGAGACTGGTAGAGCCAGGGGGGGGGCTACCAGGGCTGACTGTGGTGTGCTGGAGACTGGTAGAGCCAGGGGGGGGCTACCAGGGCTGACTGTGGTGTGTTGGAGACTGGTAGAGCCAGGGGGAGCTACCAGGGCTGACTGTGGTGTGTTGGAGACTGGTAGAGCCAGGGGGGGCTACCAGGGCTGACTGTGGTGTGTTGGAGACTGGTAGAGCCAGGGGGGGCTACCAGGGCTGACTGTGGTGTGTTGGTGACTGGTAGAGCCAGGGGGGGGGCTACCAGGGCTGACTGTGGTGTGCTGGAGACTGGTAGAGCCAGGGGGGGGGCTACCAGGGCTGACTGTGGTGTGTTGGTAACTGGTAGAGCCAGGGGGGAGGCTACCAGGGCTGACTGTGGTGTGTTGGTGACTGGTAGAGCCAGGGGGGGGCTACCAGGGCTGACTGTGGTGTGCTGGAGACTGGTAGAGCCAGGGGGGGCTACCAGGGCTGACTGTGGTGTGTTGGAGACTGGTAGAGCCAGGGGGGGGCTACCAGGGCTGCCTGTGGTGTGCTGGAGACTGGTAGAGCCAGGGGGGGCTACCAGGGCTGACTGTGGTGTGCTGGAGACTGGTAGAGCCAGGGGGGGGCTACTAGGGCTGCCTGTGGTGTGCTGGAGACTGGTAGAGCCAGGGGGGGGGCTACCAGGGCTGACTGTGGTGTGTTGGTGACTGGTAGAGCCAGGGGGGGGCTACCAGGGCTGACTGTGGTGTGCTGGAGACTGGTAGAGCCAGGGGGGGCTACCAGGGCTGACTGTGGTGTGCTGGAGACTGGTAGAGCCAGGGGGGGCTACCAGGGCTGACTGTGGTGTATTGGAGACTGGTAGAGCCAGGAGGGGCTACCAGGGCTGACTGTGGTGTGTTGGAGACTGGTAGAGCCAGAGGGGGGCTACCAGGGCTGACTGTGGTGTGCTGGAGACTGGTAGAGCCAGGGGGGGCTACCAGGGCTGACTGTGGTGTGTTGGAGACTGGTAGAGCCAGGAGGGGCTACCAGGGCTGACTGTGGTGTGTTGGAGACTGGTAGAGCCAGGGTCTACCAGTCCACTTCTTGGTTGACATCCACTTGTGGATGTCAACCAACAAACTCACACTAAACATAAAAAAGACTGACAATATCTTATTTGGAAGCAAATCAACAAATGCAATTCAGCTTCAGATAGACAATGTTAACATTAGTAATAAAAATTATGGAAAGTTTCTTGGCCTATACTTAGACAAGAGACTCAACTTCAGCACCCACATACAACACATAACCAAAAAAGTCTCAAAAACGGTCTATATACTTTATAAAATCAGATATTATGTTCCAAACTCTGCTCTCCTCTCATTATAATACGCGCTAATCTATCCCTATCTAACATATATGGTGGCACTGCTCTTTACTACCACCAAGAACTAACATGCTTAAAAGAAATTAGAACCAGAGACTGCTATGGGGAGTATATCTTCGCCAGCTTCAGAGTCAAGGGTGCCGAGTCTGTCCTGTCTGTGGGTGCAGTCTATAGAATTCCTAACACTGATGTGTCCGAATTCAACTCAAACCTTAGAAATCTAATACTTGATAACAGACTGAACAAAAACCACCTAATTATCGCAGGGGACTTTAATATTGACCTCTGCGAGCCTGAACACCCCACTGCTGTTAGCTTCCTCAACTGTATGAATTCCTGCTTCCTCATACCCTTAATCACTAGACCTACTAGAATCACTGATAGCACTGCCACGACGCTCGATCACATCTGGACAAACATAACCTCTCCGCTTACTTCAGGTATAATCACCGATAGCACTACAGATCATTACCCCACATTTCTCTTAACTAACATTAGCAAACCACCTCTTGAGTCAAGAGTGATACGTTTTAGACTGCACAATGAAACTGCTATAGACAATTTTATAACTGCTGCTGATAATGTCAACTGGGAGTCCGAGTTAGGTAACATAGTGGACATCAACCTTGCAGTACAATCTTTTCTTCAAAAAACTCTTAGCCTTTATAATACCCACTGTCCTATGCTTACAAAACAAGTCACAACCAAAAGGCTTAACAATCCCTGGCTTACAAAGGGAATACTTAAATCTATTAATAAAAAACATGACCTTGAGAAGAAGTATAGGTTAGGAATTGTCTCCAAAGAATTCTCAAAGAATTACTCATTATTGCTGTCTAAGATAATTAGACGAGCCAAAACTAAATACTACGAAGATAAATTTACCCAAATAAAGAGCAACATTAAACAAACTTGGAGAACAATTTCTCAAATATTGGGATCAAAGAAGTCTTTAAATAACAAACCGACTCTCCTGTCTAATAACGATGGTCAGCTTTCAGCCTCTGATTCTGCTACTGAGTTCAATAGGTTCTTCTCTTCCATTGGTTCATCCCTTGCAAATGATATTCCATCTTCCAGTACAGACATTAATGACTATCTTTCAGGTAACTATCCACAGTCTCTGTACCTAAAGCCTATTAATTCCACTGACGTCAATGAGATAATCCTTTCCCTTAAAACCAAGTCTGGTGCCCTTGAGGAGATACCAACTTTAATTTACAAAAAAGCCTCCAGATCTTTAGCCCCTGCTATTGCTTTGCTCTTCAACAAGTCACTTGAACTCCAAACCTTCCCAGATATTCTAAAAAAAGCGAGAGTAACGCCTGTCCACAAATGTGGTAATCTCACAGATGTTAACAACTACAGACCTATATCTATCCTGCCAAACTTGTCAAAAATTTTTGAAAAACTAATCTATAAGCAGCTTTACTCATATCTAGCCAAACTCAATATACTTAGCCCTTGCCAATATGGCTTCAGACCCAAAAAAAGCACTAACGATGCACTTATTAGTATGCTTAACTCGATTCATACAGCTCTTGATAAAAATGAGTTCTCTGTTGGGTTGTTTGTGGACCTGCGTAAAGCTTTTGACACTGTCAACCACCAAAACCTTCTTCTTAAATTACATCATTATGGAGTCAGAGGACACTCCCTACAATACCTCAAATCCTACCTTACTGACAGGCTCCAATATGTTTCTGTGAATAATACAATTTCTCCCACCCTACCCATCAACATTGGTGTTCCCCAGGGCAGCATACTTGGCCCTCTCCTCTTTCTCATCTACATTAATGACCTTCCAAATGCCTCCCAACACCTCAAACCAATTCTATTTGCTGACGACACAACCTTCATTTACTCCAGTCCTGATCCCCTTGCTCTAAATGCCACAGTAAATACTGAGCTAAATAAAGTCCATCTTTGGCTAACTGCCAACAAACTCACCCTTAACATTGACAAAACCTTTTATATTCTGTTTGGCAATAAATCCTCTAATCAAATAAATCTCAAAATAAACAATACCCAAATTTGTAACAAATTAGATGGCAAATTCCTTGGCATTCTCATTGACCACAAGCTTAATTTCCAGGGACACATTCTAAACATATCAAAAAAAGTTTCAAAAACTGTGGGCATTCTTTCTAAGATCAGATATTATGTACCACGCCCTGCCCTGGTGACTCTCTATTACTCCCTTATCTATCCTTATCTCAACTATGGTATTTGTGCTTGGGGCTCTACTACCCAAAATCACTTACGTCCTCTAATTACTCAACACAAAGCTGCTATTAGGACAATATCCAATTCTGGCCCCAGACATCACTCGGTACCCCTACTTAAATCTCTGAATATGTTAGACATTAAGTCACTGCACATTCTCTCATGTGTATTATACATATATAAAACGCTAAACTATAATGCCAATCCTGATCTCAAAAGCTTCATAGAAGGTTGTAACAGAACCCATGAGCACCACACCAGAAATAAATACAGTTTTGATATTCCTAGAGTACGACTTAATCAAACTAGAAATGCTCTACAAATCAAGGGGCCCAGGATGTGGAATGACCTTCCCAACCATGTTAAAGACTGTACCTCTCTCAACCAGTTTAAGTTAAAAGCGAAGCACTACCTAATAAATTCCCTGTAACCTA